GGTTCTGTATACGATTACTCTAGGAAACTAAGATTCAGATTATCAAAGGGATTAACTAACTGGGTCCTGAAACTGAAACCTGATTTTTCTGCCTTTAAACTCCGAGGGAACCAAACCAGATGTCAGGATATTGATTACATTTTTTATTCTTGTGAAATCTTGATGGACGTCCAACTGTCCAAGTCTATATTCTGATATCTGGAGACTTTCTGGGTAATCATTTATTCTTCGGTTTTGGAACAGGCATGTCCAGGTTTCCCTCCTGGTCCTGTGTCCCCTGGCAGAGGGGAAGTAATGGACTGATGGATGTTTCTTTTATATAAACTCAGTTATTCTCTTTAGTCTGAAGCTTTTCTCAAAGGAACCTCCTCAGCTGCCTGGGTGGATCCTCCTTCTGATGATCACCTGTGTTTGTTTTTAGCTTGGCTCTGACCAGCCTCAACAAACACACTGAAGCTGTTGGCTACTATAAGAAGGCTCTGGAGCTGGACCCCGATAATGACACCTACAAAACCAACATGAAGATCGCAGAGGAGAAGATGGAGACGTCCAGCCCGGTGAGAGCACAGGAGAGGAAGCCATCTTTTCCCTGATCCATTTCAGTTCTTTTTGTTTTACACGTTTGTGTTTTTTTTCTCAGTCTGCAGGTTTGGGTGGAATCGATCTGGCTGGTTTGCTCAGTAACCCTGGATTCATGAACATGGTCAGTTCTGCCGTCACGACTCAAAGAAATACGACCAAAATAGAATAATTTTGTTCATTACAGTCAAACAAACACAATAATTTCATTAAAAAAAATGTTTATTTACTTTTTTAGAATAATTTATTACTCAAAGCTTGTAACACTGAGGATAATACATTTAGTGGGGATGTAGAGAGTAGTTTCTAAATAAAGCTGAACTTTTAACCACATAAATCGTTTCAGCCTTTTAAAATATCATCTGACCACAAAAGGTGAAATCCGTTTGGTAACACATTAAAAAAAGCAGAGGATGGAGTATAAAATCCTGTGGAATAACAGAACTGTTGACGTTTTCCTCTGTTCCTCTGGTATCAGTTTTTACATGTGTGGCTTTCCTCTGCAGGCCTCGACTCTAATGAACAATCCTCAGGTTCAGCAGCTGTAAGTTTCTCACCATCGTCCCTCAGTTCCTCTTCTTTGTTCTTCCAAATGTATTTCTTGTAATCTTTTTTTTTTTTTCCTCAGAATGTCTGGGATGATGTCAGGAGCGTACGGTGGGGTGGGAGCATCTGGAGGTGGAGGAGTAGGGGGCGGAGGTGGTGGAGTCAGCGGAGCAGCAGGTCCAGGAGGTCCAGGATTGGGAGGTCCAGGTTTAGGAGGTCCAGGTTTAGGAGGTCCAGGATTGGGAGGTCCAGGATTGGGAGGTCCAGGTTTAGGAGGTCCAGGATTGGGAGGTCCAGGATTAGGAGGTGCAGCCTCAGCAGCTCAGGGACCTGCAGATCTGTCCGGCTTGATCCAGGCGTGAGTGTTTCTCCTTTACCCCAAAGTTTGTGATTAAAGCTGTGAGTTAAGACTTTGTTGTTGACGTTTGTTGGGTGGCCTGTAGGGGGCAGCAGTTCGCTCAGCAGATGCAGCAGCAGAACCCAGAACTTATCGAACAGCTAAGGAGTCAAATTCGCAATCGAACGCCCAGCGCTGGAAACGAGGAGCAACAGTGACGACTCTGATCTGTACGTATGAATAATCCTGATTAATCTGGGAACCACTGAACCTGCAGATTTGGAGTAAAGTGTTCTGTTAGGAACATAAGGAACAATCAGGTCATTGAGGGGAGCTTGGTTATTTAGGACTTTATATGTGAGAAGGAGGATTTTAAATTCTCTTCTAGGTTTACCAAGAAGCCAATGAAGAGGAGATATGATCTCTGTTTTTAATTTTTATCAGAACTTTTGCCGCAGCATTTTGAATCAGCTGAAGGCTTTTAACTACAGATTGTGGAGTTCCTGGGGTCCGTTTCATAAAGCAGGTTCAACAAACTCTGATTCAAATCCTCAACTCTAAATTAAACAAGTGCGTGACAAGTATGAAAAGCCAGTGGAGCCCCGATTTGACAAGTCACCATAAAAACAGGCAACAAGAAGTACTTATTTCACCCGACTGGAACTAGTTAACTAATTAAAAAATGAAAAAAAAAAATGTGTTTA